AGCAATTTATTGGATCGAATAACCAAAATGAAACATCGTATTGTAAAACCCTACAATGAAGGAATTGAGACCCCCAAAAGTTCTAACTCTTCTGACCCGTTCGACTTCTCGACATCTCCACTTTCGGTGAGGATCTCAAGTGACGACTAAGGTAACAAACACTCTCCCTTTCTTCTTATTCTCTGTTTCGCTTTGAAAATCAAAAGAAAGGGTTAATAGAAAATTGAAATAAACCTTAAAAATGTTTGAGTTTATTGCTTATGTTTTTTTCTTTGTTTATACTTCTTTTTGGTTTCTTACGAATGGGAAAGACCCCTTTACAAATACTCTTTTGGGGTTTATAAACACTCCAGATTGCATTTACAAAATAATAAAAAATCATTTTTACAACTTGAATTTTTGTCTTATTTGTGCTTGTGTGCTTGAATTTTTACAACTTGGGACCATTGTTGGGTTCTCACGAGTGATCTACTGGCGTGTTGTCTGGCAGCTGTAATACGAGGAGTTATAGTCGAAGGTGGCGGTTGTAGCAAAGAAAATCTTAGGGTTTCTGATAATTTTCTTTAGGGTTTGGGGACTTGGACTGTCGATCATTTGAGTTTTGGGTAGTTGTAAATGGATTAAGGTATTGGGTTTGATTTGTAAAAGGGCTTTTGTTTGCCTTTGTACTTGGTTTGTGTTTGAATTGTTCTTGTAATTAACTTTAATTTGACATTTAAATTTGGGTATGAGCATATATATATTTTTAATTTTAGTCACATAATTTTTAGGATTCACATGTGCATGTATATTTTATTTTAAACGTACTTTTAACTTCCAATCATTTAACCACCCCTTCAAAATTTAATTTTATACGTATCTTCCATTGAAAGCAGTCCATTCGCATCCTCCATGGAACACTTGATGAGCCCTTGAAATTCTTTAATCCAACTTAACTTAATAATGAACCCAACTTTTGAATATTAATGAGCTTGAACAATGATTTAATCTATTCGTGCGATCCGAATTATTCTAACTGCTTCGTTTAGAGATTTTTGGACAAAATTAGGATATTACAATTATCTCTCTATTCATTATTGTAGAAACAAGATCACGACAAAGACTAATAATGACTTAATTTTGTTTGATTTGATTGTAACTCCATTTTATAGCACCAATGTCCCTATTCAATTTTCTATTGATTTATCCCTCCATCTTTCGACTGAATTATATGCCCCATCTGTGCTTGAAACAATGGTTGTCCCTTGTTCCCATATGTAATGGGGTAAGGGGAGGTAAGATAGTAGGTTGCCCCCAACACTAGGTTGAGAGTAGCTTCCGTAGGAGACCTCCAAATTATGAAACTCCCTCCATAGGACTCGATCTCACGACCTCAAGATTAAGAACCTTGTGCTTGAAAATATTCTCATTTTGTTTGCCTCAATCCCATATTTTTTGTTCTACTAAAAGGCACAATTATCATTAATTAGTACCTTTGAGAATTTATTTTTATTTATTATTTTTTTAGAAATGATGTTGTCTCATGTGTGACTGAAAATGATATTTTTATCTCAAAGGATATGAAATTCGACTTTCAAAGGAAGCGATTTTAAGGAAAGTCCCAAAAAATTGTTCTGAATGAGGAAAAAATTTGTTTTAAGAGAAACAATCTCAAGCGAGATAAAATTTTCTTTTTTGAATGAAATGATCTTGAAGTTTATGTTTCTAGGGAAACTATCTTGAGTGAGATAAAATTTTGTTTCAAGAGAAAAAATCTCATGTGAGATAATTTTTTTTAAGTGGAATGATCTTAAAGTTTATGTTCTGAGGGGAACTATCTCGAGCTAGATAAAATTTTGTTTCAAGGGGAATGATCTCAAGTGAGATAAAATTTATTTTAAGAAAAACAATCTCAAGTGGGATAAGATTTCTTTTGAGTGAAATGATCTTAAAGTTTGTGTTTCAAGGGTAACTGTCTCAAGTGAGATGAAATTTTGTTTCAAATAAAAACAATCTCAAACATGATAATATTTTCTTTTTTTAAGTAAAATGATCTTGAAGTTTGAGTTTCGAGGGAAACTATCTCGAGTGAGATAAAATTTTGTTTCAGGTAAAACAATCTCAAGTGAGATGAAATTTGTTTTAAGAAAAAAAAATTTAAGCAAGATAATTTTTTTGAGTGAAACGATCTTAAAATTTGTGTTTAAAGGGAAACTGTCTCAAGTGAGATGGAATTTTGTTTTAAAAAAACTAATATCATGTGAGATAAGATTTCTTTTGAGTGAAATGATATTAAAGTTTGTGTTTCAAGGGAAACTGTCTCGAGTGAGACGTAATTTGTTTCAAGGGAAACTATCTCAAAGGAAATAAAATATTTATTTCGAATAAAACAATCTCAAAGTTAAACAAATGATTTGTTATTCTACTTGAAGATGTCGAATTTAAAGATGACATTGTTCCTTCTTATTGAAAATATCTAGTTATCCTTGAATGATTTACTCATTATGTTCTTTCTTGATTGCGCTCCTATATCTTTAAAGTCTCATCATTCTGATTAAATAGCTATAGTAAACTTGTACATGTGTGAATGCAATTATCTTGAATGTTTTTATGAATGTCAAGATGAAATTAATCTTTCGTTTTTAACCCTTTAATAAATTTTTTTTTTGAATTTATCCTCATGAGAGGAGAAAATATTCTTAAGAAAGTCAGGATTTCACAAGAAATTCTAAATTCATCCTCACATAAGGGGAATTCAAAGATCTTATGTTACACATGATGATGGATGTTTAATGAAAAGATGCAAAATCATGTATGTGCATGTTGATGCATGTTTTTTTTATTAATGGTGATGAAAAGATACATCAACAGTCTTGATTCTCTTCTTGATTTATTTGTCTTCATTACTTGATCACACCAAGGTGTACCCCTATAATTATTTGCAACTAAATGTTCCTTTTACCCCGTAAGCATTGCTCCTAACACTCAACTTTTTTCCTCAATTTCTGATTTTGGGCTTTTAAGTCTGACAGACCTCTATTAAATTTCTAACGTACATTTTCAGGGAAATTATTTTGTTTGAAAGTATTTTTCTTCATTTAAAAATTTGTTGAATAAACAAAATAATGCCCCTTTTTAGATTCACAATTGAAGCAAATCACAAAACATGAGTTCACGGAATATCAAAAGAATCAAATGCTCTTTTAATTTTTCAAAGTAATAACTCTTTGACAAGTTTTAGGATTGATGGGCTGATTTTGGGTTAGCTCCCTAAATTTTTTATGGGTTCGTTCATTGAGTTATCCTTCTTCTTGGTCTTTGTGACTATGGCATGCCCCTCATTCTCGACTTTGCCTTCTAATCGGATGTGAAAAAATTGACACAACTAGAATAATCAATTAGTAGGCATTTTAGAATATTTCTATTTCAATTCTCTAAAATCGTCCATTTGTTCAAGCTTCATAAACTCCTTTAGTAGAGGCAATGCAGAAATATTGATCTAAAAATAGAATTCCTTAGTGCTTGTATGAAGTTGACTTCAATAGTGTTTCTCAACTCCCTTAGTTCATTTTCACCAAAACTCCTTATTAATTCAAACTTTAAACTTTGTTGTTTCCTTGGATTTTATTAAATTTAATTCCATTTGTCTTTATTTGGCATAGCTGAAGGATTCATGTCATCACAAAATCTTCGACTTGACAACCATGATAGAGCAAACACTGAATTATCAAGTGTCTGATTAATGTCATGGTTTGAATATAACATATTCATAAAACCAGGGTTTTTGAGTTACCTTTATAACTAATTGCTTTAGCAAAATAGCTCAATTTTATTACACTTACCTTAGGATGACACTACATTAATTTCCTAGGTATTCAGATTTAAGATTTTTTAAGATCATTAAGAAAAACCTGTTATAGTTTGGGTGTCACCAAAAATTAGAAAATTTCATCTTTAGAGTTCAATTCCCAGGCAACTGACTTAGATTGAATTCATCTACTAAACTATTTCATCTGTGAAGATTATGATCATCTTTAAACGTCCTCAATAGAAGCATAATCTAACCAGATTTGCCATATCATACAAAAGAGATGTCATACAAAACAAATTTAATAAAAATACTAAAAACATCTTTCGTATGTTTTCGTATTTTTACTTATTTTTGTTAATTTTTTCTTGAATTCATTTTCTAATTTTACAATCAAATATATTTTCTTTGAAGTTTTCTATTTTCTAATAAAATAAAAATGAAAATAACTTATATTTTATAAAACCAAACTACCTTAATTTTTTTATGGATTTGATTTTGAATGCTAGATAGAGAAGATGATCCATAATTAAACATTATTAGAAATGAGTTGGATTAAAAAGAAAGAAAGAGATATATAAGGAAATAATTAAACCTTTTGATAAACAAAGACTCGGAGATCATGGTAAGAAATTCATAGTAACCAGTCGTAACATTTTATCTGTTTTCTTTGTATTCTACTCTAGCTGTCCAACAGTTATGGTAATAAAGAAATGCATAGGCAAGAATGGAAGCTTGAGTTGTGCCTGTCTGTAACTGTAGTTATGAAGTTTCCTTATACCATGGATTATTATTATTGCATTAATGATATACACCTTGCCACATACTTTTTTTTCTATAGTTAGACTTGGCAAATAGAGGTAAATAAATACAGAAATCCATTTTGACAGGAAATGGAAAATTTTGAATGCATCCTAATCTTCAACTTTGAAAATTGATTGTTTTTTACAAGTGAATGCTACCGTGTGTAATTTATTTTAAATAAAATCTTTAAATTTATCAAAATACAACACGTCTTAGTTAATAAGTTTTTTTAACGGTCGTTACACTTGGACACTAAAAATAGTAATATTTGTAACATTAGACACATGGATTAGAAAAATCAATTTAAACACTTAAATAGGAAGGATTGTAAAGTTTGAGCACTTATTTTTTTTATATTAAACCTTATTTATATGAATAGAAAAATTAGGTAATAAGTTCAGAATTAAGACTTCAGATTTAGCTTTGTTCTTTTGTTTGAAAAAAGGTTTATCTTTGTTGTTAAGCTGAGGAGGTGCAAAGATGTTGATAAAATATTTGAAGGTTGCATGCTTCTATTGCATGGCGTTTGTAATGATTTGGTGTGGTGCTGCAGTTTCATTTTCAGTGGTCAATTCTCTTCCTGGATTTAATGCAGCACTTCCTTTCAGGCTTGAAACCGGGTAAACTTCTCTGACTCTTCTGCTAATCTTTTCCTTTAATCATTGTACCTCACACATTCTCCGATATGAATATTTTAAATCTGATTCGTAACAGAGATTTCATTTCTTAATCTCATAGCACTGGTCATAACGAGTTAGTTAATTTAATGTGTATCAGATACATGGGGGTGGATGATGTGGAGTTTTTCTACTATTTTATTGAATCTGAAAGCAACCCAGCTGAGGATCCTCTCTTGCTGTGGATCACTGGAGGCCCTGGCTGCTCTAGTCTTTCTGGATTTTTCTTTGAAACAGGTAATCTGTTTGTTCATTTCCTGCCTAGGACATCCTGCAATAAGCGCACTAATATGTGCTACGGTGCTAATTTAGGCCCCTTGCGTTTTAACATGGTGGAGTACAATGGCAGCTTACCTACTTTCTTCCAGAACCAGTATGCATGGACCAAGGTGAAATCTTTTAGGTCTAATTGCTATAAACCATATAGTAATACTCTGCCTCCTATTTCCATTTGCTGATATTTGTTTTGTGAACATCATTGACAACTTTGTAGGTTTCAAGTATAATCTTCTTAGATGCTCCGGTTGGTACCGGATTCTCTTATTCAAGGACGCCGCATGGTTTCAAGACCGGGGATATGAAACATGCTATTAGTTGTTTTAATTTTCTGAGGAAGGTATTTACAGATCTCAGCTGCTAAAATCTTGCAAAATGATCAATAAAATTTTCAAGTTAAGAAAGAATTGTTCCCAAGAACTCCTTGTATAACCAAACATATCATTTTTTTGTTCAGTGGTTGCAGAGTCATCCCAAGTTCATCACTAATCCACTTTATATAGGCGGTGGCTCATACTCCGGCATGATTGTACCTATCATTGCTCTAGCAATATCAGATGGTAGCTACATGTTTGTCTCCTTAAGACTTGTATTTTATATATTGTTAATCGGTTGGGGCAATAACCAGGTTATTCATTCTGCTTCAGATAATGAAGACAAAGGCATACCAGTAGTAAATCTCAAAGTAAATGCTCTTCTATCAAATTTCATTTTACAAATGTGGGTTTCTGGATTCCGGAATGCTACAACAATTCCTGTTTCAGGGTTATTTTCTTGGGAATCCATTTGCAGATGGGAAGTTTGAAGGCAACTCAAAGATTCCATATTACAATCGAATGGCACTCATCTCTGATGAACTTTACGAGGTTATTCCCTTCTTCTAATGCTTCTGATATGGAAACCGTGTATATGATCATGAGAATTCTTTCATCTTGCAGTCAGCCAACAGGAATTGTCAAGGAGAATATGTACAAGTTGGCAACGAAAGGTGTGCAAATGATCTTCAGGCTATCTCAGAGGTAGATAAGCAAATGAACCTGTTTCTTGTAGGATAAATTTTTGGTAATTCCTAACTTCTTTCTCTCTGTTATCCAGAATAGACTAACAACAGTTTTCGCTTTTGCTTTTCTAGTGCACCGCAAGCATAAACGAGGTGCATATCTCGGAGCCTAAATGCCCTTCCGAATTTTCAGAAATGGGTATCTTGCGTATGTCAACTGGATACCCTCAATTTGGATGTCGAGTAAATTTTCTTGCACTTGCTATGTCACTCCAAAAATGTACGAACTTTGTCATGATAATTGAACTGTTGATTGATTAAGACATATTACAGAACTATTATTGTTACCTTATGAAAATTTGGGCAAGTGATGTCAACGTCCAGAAAGCACTCCACATCAGAAAGGTAAGAATTAAAGCTTTACACCAACAGCAAAAACAACATAGCTGAGTTAAAATTAGTGTAATGTTGATGTTGAATACCAGGGAACAATCAATGAATGGGTAAGATGTAACCTGAGCATGGACTATGACTATGATGTTCCGAGTGCTATAAGCTATCATCTACGTCTCAATTCAAGAGGTTATCGAGCTCTAATATTCAGGTTATATTTTTGTTTGCTTACTGCTCTAGCCATTCTGTTTCTTCTGTGTACGTTAGCTGGTGCTGAATCTTAATTTCATTCCAGTGGTGATCATGACAAAGTTGTTCCATACGTGGGAACAGAATCATGGATTAAGTCCCTGAATCTCTCCATCGTCTCTGATTGGAGGCCATGGTTTGTTGATGGTCAAGTTGGAGGGTAAGCCTATAATTATTACTGGATTCTGTTTTGCGTATGTATAAGAACTTATTTGTTTTCTTGATGCTTTGGTTCTTACAGATACTCGAGAGAATACGCTAATGGCTTTACATTTGCAACTGTAAAGGCAAGATTCCAAATAGTTTGCGAATGAAAAATGTTATTTAATTGGCACACATTTTGAAGAAAACGAGTTTGGGATTTTGCAGGGTGCAGGTCATACGCCTCCAGAGTACAATCCCCAGGAATGTTTTGCCATGTTTAATAGATGGATTTCTCAACAACCTCTGTGATAAAGAAGTCCACATCATTCATGCATGTGATGAAGGTTTCATGCTACAAAATCATAATAAATATGCTGTTATTCGACCAATTTATATCGTTACAATGAAGATGCTTATATATTATATTACTCAAAACCAATACATAGCACGCCCAGTAGCAAAATTAACAATCACATCCAAAGCAGAAGTTAGGAAGGTCCAAATATATAATGACAGATGGACCAACTTCGGCTTGATGGTGCCTCTAGTTTAAGGACAATATTTGTTTGCGGCTATATATTATCGATTCCCTTCTAAACCAGAAAGGATGATCGTTGTCCTGCCATGAATGCTGCATAATTCACGCCTTAGTTCACTGCGGTTATTCTCTTCTCTGCTTAACAAAAGAAACCTTTACATGGTAAAGAAGTAAAAGCAAACAAGCACTTTTTGCATGGTTATAAATAATGAAAAGCCATAACTTTTGATGTCCTGTTTTGCTTTACCATGGACCTTCATCAACGGGGTAATCAAAGGGGACTTCAGTGACAGTGGAGGAATCATATAGATCAGGGTGCATGAACCCATACTTGCGCAACACCTGATTATCAGCAAAGTTCAAAGCTTTGACCATCCCTTTCCAACAAGACTCACCGCCATACATCTGGTTATGGTCGCCGCTACAAGGCTGACAACCGGTGAAATGAGTGATCAACGGTCTCCTCCAACTCCCTCTTCCGTTCCCAGCTTCCTTCAGGAACTCTTCCCTAAACGCAGCGTATTGCTCACTCACTTTCTCAGCATGTCTCCTCCTTAACTTTGGCGCCCCTCTCTCGATTTCCAAATACTTCTCCGTTGTGTTTTCGTACCCTCCAATAATCTCAACCCAATACCCTTCCAAATAGAACTCTCCTTCTAAATAAATATGGTCATAATATTTCTCTTTTTCTGTGTAAAGCAAATAAATCAGAGCTGATTGATCATCTGAGTCTGGGAAAAGCTTATCTTTGAACGTTGATCGTTGAATCTGACCCCACTTTTCAATATCCTTACTAATTGGACCCATGCTAGACCAAGTTTTAATCAAATCCATAGACCACTGGCAATTCCTAATCAGAAAAACCCCAGCATTTAAACTGGTCCAACTTTTACTGTCGTAAATCAACTTAGGCCAACCATGAACAACCAAGTTGTGGTTTTTGTACCTTTCTAAAGGTAACATGTACTCCATGTCTGTAAACAATGCGTCCGAGTCAACCCACCAGATCCACTCAGCTTCAGGGTGAGCCAACATGGTTGCTTTAACGACCGGTAACTTTGCCCAAAAGGAGCCCATTTTTTGGTGTAATAACAAGTTGTTGTAAAAAATGTCGTAGCCATGAATTCTACAGTAATCAACCTTGTTCTTGAAGAAACGCAAGAGTAAATGATCTCCAGTGGGATTCTTACATGGCTTTGGCTGCGACCCAGTCACAAGAACGATTCTTTCACGTGCTCCGGCGGCGAACGAAGGGTGATGCTTCAACCACTCTTGGCGTTTTTCGTCCCAATCTTTCACCGACTTTTCAATGGAGTAACTCATATCCGGATCGTCGTAAAAGGTCGGATCTTTGGGGTCGGATTTTAAGTTGACTCCGAACCCACTGTCCGAGCAGTCCATTGAGCTCTTCAACTTGGACGATGGATGGATTATGTGGGATTCAAAGTTTGGTGTTGGAGTGAAGAACGACCAAAACGACCCTACTAACAGAAGAGCAAGAAAAACACTACCAAAGACAAGAAAGCCGTCGGAAAGACACCAAAACGATCGGTTCCGAGGCTTGGCCATGGGAGAAGAAGAATGAGGATGAGAAAACTCAGGAGACACCATTTCTCAAAAATTTAGAATTTAAGAGAACCGGGTCTTGAGGATTTGTTTGGTCGGTCGGTAGCTCAGGACATCTGTTTCAAAGAAAAATAAAAAAGTGATGCCCTCCAAATATGGTTGGGTCATTAAAGAAGAAACAGAAAATGGGGACACTGTTTTAAAGTGTGTTTGGTTTTCGCATTACAAGTGAAGGGCGTCGGTTTGGGTGCGCCATGGATGCTAAATTGCGCGGGCTAGAACAGAGATGACTAACATTTAAACTACACGTTCGAGTTTGGCATGTGAAACCAGAGCCGACAGTTTAGAGTGAACTATGAATCCACACAAATATAAACCTATCAAATCTAAATTTATATTAAAGTTTTAAAATTATTACTGAATAAATATTTTATAAACTTTTAAATTTGAAAGATAATCATTAAGATTAGGATCTATTAACATTTAGTTAAAAAATCAATTTTATATATATATAAAATTATTAGATGAGTAAAATTACACTATCATAATTTTTTTTATCTTTTTATTTATTATTGTTAGTTTTAGCAGTTTATTTTTATTAATTCAATAATTAGATAACAAAATAAAAAATAAAAAATAAAAATAATTCAGCTATTAAAATAAAAGGTAAAAATAACTAAAGCATCAGATAGATGATTTAGCTTATTTGAAAACCAGTTGCAATTGTATTTTAGATATATGCAATTGTTATATTTCTCGTCTCTGTTTAAAACTTTATTATAAACAAAAATGGGAGACGAGATGGGCATGAACGTGCTGTGAGGAAGCATTGTTTTGCATCTTCTCTCTCTAAAGATCTGATTGAAAGAAAATGGAATGGACACAAAATCAAACAAATAAAAAGATAAAATAAAGTGTCACTTGTTTGGAGCTTGTGGAGGTTTGAGGCTTAGGTTACTGCAACGCATAAATGGAAAATGGAACGTGAAAGTGAAGGTGACAAGTGGTACCCAAGTCTGCAGTGAGGATGACATTTGGAAGGGGTAACTGCTGACACGGTGACGATTCAAGCATTGCTATGTACCTCCATCATGTGATTCTCTGACAGTATTTGTAATTGGAGCTCCATCTTTTAAATTTTTCCAAGATTTTCTACCCCCACGATTCGTTTTAGTAAGGTTGAGTTCTTGAATCTGGCTCTCAACCAAAGTGTTTTCGTCTTCGTTTTTTTCTTTTTGTCGTGCTGTTCATATACCAAGGAGATGAACATGTTCATCACAGCATTGGGATATTAGTGTGTAAATATATGTATTAATGAACTTGGGATCTTAAAAAGTGTTTTAATACAGAAGGCTGCTCTCAAAACATCATTCCAAGCACACGACAAACCATCAAATATTCCTCGTAGTTCCGCCTAAGTAACCAATCAGACATCTCCCTGAGCTCGTTTTAACTGCACTATCTGATTTTATTTCACCCTAGGTTAAAATTTTCACCATATTTACATTAGTTTTTGTGACAACATCGAGGCCTGATTCGAAAAGAAAAGACTGATTATGTCCCATAAATTCCCAAAACTAAGTCACCCATTGCTTATTGTAGGTTCCCATTTCACCAAACCGCAAGCATTTGAAGATCCCTAATCAAAGTTTCTTGCTCTCTTCTCAATGGTTACGCAAATGAAATTTACCCGGATTACTACTCTACCAAATACATGCTTCTAAGATTACATATTTCTTCTTCCTTAGAGCTTTTCCTCATTGTAACACCATTTGTTGGTAAAATAAACTACTGCAAAACGAAGCATTAGCATTGACTGGAAAAATATATATTGAAATATATAAACAAAGAACCAATTAACCGTGTCGTGGTATTAACCACTGCCTTAGAAACGAATTCGCCCCGATGTGTGTAATCGCTGCAGTAGGCAGACCGTCCCCCGAGGTTAACACGGTCGCTCCGAATTTCGTACACCCAAAACCGGAGTGGACTGCTGGTGGTATTGCACTTCTGATCGGAAAGTACGGAGAAAACAACTTTAGAAAACACTTGGATAGTGAATTCTAATTGTAAAGAGTGTGAGTTGAGAAGCTGAATTTAGCTCTCTATTTATAGGCTAAAAGTAAGGGTAAATCCGTCCAACAAGAAAATCAAATTAAATTTGATTTTAATTCTGAATTTAAACCCTTTTTGTAACTCCTCTTGACGATTCTGGCTAAAAAAAGAGTCAATGTTCATTGCATAAAAATTAAACAGTTATAACTCCTGAAATTAAATCAGATAACTCATGTAACTCCTGATATTAACAGCTTCTCTCACATGAACAAAGCTTGAAATCAGTCCAGATACATCTTAAATTCTGATTTAATTTAGGAAAATAATAGTTTAATTTATTTAATTTCAGACAACTAATAATCAGTTATTATCATTTGAAATATTCAAACTTTAACAGTCTCAGTAGCCTATAAATATCAGATGAATCTTTCACATTTTTCATTTAATCTTTCGGAGAAAAATTCCTTATGAATTTTCTCTAAAAAGATAGTATTCGTGAGGATGTGTCAAAGACACATATTACCATGCCTTGTTCTCTATCACTCAACAAGGAAATGGAGAATGTGAACCTTAAATACCATTCCCACTAGTATTTCCAACTATATGTGGGATTGAGCATTACCAACATTCCCCCACTAATGCGAAAGAATTCTTCTGAAACTCGAAAACAATCTTTCCAGAAGAGCAATAGCGAGATTAGTTGCTTAAGCACTAGTGAACGTATCTGGAACTAGTACATAGTGATGATAAGCAATCCTTCTCTTAGATAAGTGAAAGTAGTCTGGAACTTTCTAAGATGGGGGTAAACTCATAACACACAACTGACCCCTTCATCCACCTGAGTCCTCGATGTGTAAGATATATATATACAAAATTATATATTTGGCTATCTTACCTCAGGATTTTAGTAAGTGTGCTAGAAAAATGGCCCAATCATTTTTCATAGAAGGTGGCTAACCCTTCTCACTTACATAGGTTATTTCATCAAGTTTATCTCGATATAAACCACCCTTAACAGGGATATGAAATAATTAAGAGCTTTTATAAAAGCTCAACCTCACAAAAGGTATGGTGACTTTCTTCAAGTTCATTATTAATGAACCACCCAAACTCTGGGCTAAGAAATCATTAAGAATAAATATTCAACCTC